TTCCTAAGAAAGATGATATATGTTGATTTTCTACATACTTCCCCTCTAAAGGTGCACAATCCCCCCCCCCAGTTGCATCTCTGCATGCTCCCTTGTACCTGAGCATGTGCAACTGCTTCAAGCAAGAACATCAGGGGCAACCTGTTACCATATAGGGAAGTTAGCTTCTGAGCTGCACACAATAGCTGTCTGACAAATGTTAGCCCCTCTGTGGTTATTCAGGAATACATTCTTTCACATGCCACAGAGTTTTTTCCATTTCACCTAATGTAGAGACTTGAAATCTGTCTTTATATAAAGCTACTACATGCCAGCTTTGAAAATCTATGCGCTCCTTCACACAACAGTAACAATACATGCTGTCTGCCTGCCCTCTGGACATCTCTTTGTGTTAAACTGTTCAGCAGCCAGCCACTGCTATTTCTAGGGAAGTACTGGACCATGGAGATGATTTTAGAATTGTAGGCTGTTAGGCATAGTTCAGCTAGGTATGAGCAGCATAACAGACATTAATCGCCATGGTGTATAAATTCTTTAAATTATCATTACCATTCACAGCCAGTTCCTTCCCCATAACTGACCTGTAAGAGCTTAGAGACAAGATTTGCCCCATCTGAATCCAGTCTATGGAGACAGAAAAAAAAAAAAAAAAAAAAAAAAAAAATCGAGATCAAGCCCATACCTGGGTGCATGCTTCTGGATAGGATCTGGAAAATATTTGGGATAATTGTAGGATTTAAATTCTTCATTAGATAGGATACCAGACCACGTTTCTTCAGTGGGTGTCCCTGAAAAGAACACAAGGCTGTTTGTTATATGCATACAATTATCCAAATAGTCACAAACTATACAATTTAAAATATACACATCTCAGGGTTTATCATATTTCTTGTTCTAATTGGTTTATTAAGCAGATACATCTAAAACACATTATAAATCTTAAAATGACATTAAACCCTCAGATTTTTTAACATAAACCAATACTGTAATGTGTGCCTTACTGTAATCCATGGTTGTTTCCCTTCTCTTTGCTGCTATTCCTTTTAAATCCTCATGTCTTCTCATGCTGGGGGAGAACTTCCCTTTGCAGCTGAGTGCCTCTTCCTGTAGTGCTGGCTCAGGTTGCAAACCTACACACAGACACCATGTATCCATTTCAGAGACAAGGCAGTCTGCTACAAAACAGAAGTTCTGCCCAGCATGAGAACAGATACAGATTTAAAAGGAAGAGCAGCAAAGAGAAGGGAAACTACCATGGATTACAGTAAGGCACACATTACAGTATTGTTTTATGTTAAAAAATCTGAGGGTTTAATGTCACTTTAAAGCGGACCTTTAGCCATATCTTTAAAACAACAACAAAGACACCTTTAGAAACGTATTTTAAGGTCACTCTCTTAATATTATGATTCATGAGATGACGAGGGAGCCTGACGCAGGCTTCCCGGCCAATCAGAATGCCGGGCGCTGCGTCATTACACGCTACCCAGCTTCCAGATTGGCCACGAAGTTGGCTCCATGCTCTCTCATCACAAGTGATGAGAGAGCATGGAGCCGTTTCCTGGCCAATCAGGAAACCGGGCAGCGTGTAATGATGCGCTGCCCGGCTTTCTGATACAGGAAGTACTCATGCTAGGTATTGGAGCATTTGGGCGAGTACGAGTACTCACCCAAATACTCGGTATCGGCACCGATACTAGTATCGGTATCGGTGCATCCCTAATTATAACAGATGTACAAGAGAAGAGGCTTCAGCTGGATACTGTGGTATATGCTGAGAAACTAGTGACAGAAGCTGGGCAGTAGAACTTGAGGGCGTCTCAGGTTACATGCTGCTTGTTCATTTTGTAATTTCCCCACAGTTTAAAGAGTAACTAAACCCAATAACAAACATGTATCATATTGCAGCTTGCCTGTTCTTGGATATGGTTGATGCATTAGCATTCTTTTTCAGACTATTTCCCTTCATTTTCACGCAGTAACAACAACACTTTCTGTCCCTTTGTGGCTATGCTTTCTTTTCTCCACTGTATGTTTAAAAAGCTGTGTTTTCCAGCAGACTGGACTTCAAACATGTCTTTTGTTCATCTCCATTACATGGAGGATTGCTGGGATTAGTTTACACAAGAAAAAAAATGTTGTTTGAGCTTTCTTTTAAGCTCACGGGAAGTAAAAAAGGCAGTGTTTTTGCAGAATCAACGGGTATTTTCTGTACTTTATGAAAACGAATGCAGCCAGTTCATCTGGTAAGTAGCATTATATATTACATTTTAGTTTTTAGATGCATTTAAAAACCCGAAAAAGCAGTCGAAAAAACCATTTAACCACAGCTGGCAGAGCATGCTGGGAGTTTCTCAACAGCTGGGGGGCTCACGGTGTCCAAAGCTGCATGTTACTTACCACATATCAATCTGCGTAGAGTATTCTGTAGATCCCAGAAGAATATCCGGGGGCCGGTACCAGAGCGTCACCACCTCGTTGGAGTAAGTCTTGGTGGGGATAGATTTTGCCCTTGCCAAGCCTAGGAAATAAATAAACACCTTTCCAGGTAAAGCACCCAATACATCAAGGGAAAAGGT